GTCCCTGCTTAAGGCAGATAGATAAATAGATGGATAGATAAAAAGGAAAGACTCTAAACAGCTTAGATAAACTATCCTATTTACATCTTGGGTCCAATCTATCAATCCATCGGTCTGTCTATTGTGTTTGTGCTCTCTTTCAATCTGCCACTTCAGCCTCTATTAACCATTCATCTGTCTTCCTTCTGCCCCTTCTTTTCCCCTCCACCCCCAACTTCCCAGCCTCAAAATAAATCCGAAGCCTAGACACAATGAGGTACGTCCTTCCACTCCAGTTATTCTGGAAGGGTGGTCATGGCAGCTGACACTGGTGGCTTCCCAGACTCTGCTCCTCAGGAAATATGCAAATATTCTCTTGAATACTCCAGGGATAAACACCAAGTGTCAGGTGTGCTGCAGGTCCCAATTCATGGCTTTGCAAATAGAGCAAAATGTTCCCTAATCTAAGCCCTTGGGTAAAGGGAGGTGATGGGGGGTGGCAGCAGACTGGCAGAGGGGAGAAGAGAAAGGTAAGCTACTTGAATCTGTAAGTACAAGAATGCATTCATTGCATAGTTGTATACCAAGTCATTTGATCACTTTTCAAGTGATTTGAACCAACTAGATGGACAAAGAGAAAGGGAAAAGAGATAAGATGGGGATTTCATAATTAGTACTATTTACTGATTGACAAACAGTTCATCAATTTAGATCCTCTGAACTTTAGATTTCATTGCCAAAAGCTTCATGGTCTATTTTGAATGATCTTACGCCCAATACGTGGAGTGAAAATGGAATGTTAAAATACCAAGATTTTAAAAGAAAGATAAAAAAGATCACCATGCTCACCAAATCAAGAGTCTTTTCTGTGCACACACATGCACACACTGCTCCTGCCCCCACAGACACACACAGTAGGGAGGGTCTCATGCTCTCTCTACCTTTGGGGGCACCAGGCATTTTACTTTTGCATGGCCCCAAATATACAAATCTCAAACTTCTCACTGCCTCAGAAGAAAACCACAATCCTGTTCTCATAATGTACCCCTGGATCTGAGTCCCTGACTATGGGCCCTAAGCCTTCTCTAGTGTCTAAACATCTATTAACTTCTGAATAAGTGTGAGCAAAGAAAGCAGCAGCTGTATCTGAAAACCTTGAAAAGGACAAACACAGCAAATGCAAATGTGATAGAACTTTGTTTAAAATGAAAAATGTACATTGTGGGATTAGCCCGGTCCTGGAGTGCACAGGTCAGAGACATGGGTCACCACTACTCTTCTCCCCCGAATGTGACTTGCCACAGGAGGGCAGCACCGCCCCGCACCCTACAATGTACTCAGAGAAAAGGGACAGTGTGGCTCCTGGCTGCTTCACCCCATCACAGTTTCAGAACAGCCTGGGAACCTGCCCTTCCTCCCCCCACCTTCAACAGCCTCAGGGACTGTTTGTAACAAATGAACAGAACATCTCTAGAATAGAGACAGTACAGATAGGAGGAGTAGGGTTCGGGGGAGAGACTTAAACCCCCCAGAGCTGAAGACTTGTGAAAACTCCAGGTCCCACCACTGCCTTGGAAAATCCAGTATAGCTAACAATTCACTTCTCCACCAGGTAATAGATATTGGCTGGCTCAGTTTGGGGGTATGTGGTATTTATTTATAAGCTTACACTGGTGAATATCAGAGGATGTCAATAAGTAATTATGAACCCTCCAGAAGAAGAAAAGGCCCATTCCTCAAGCCAGACAAAGGATTATTCAAAAGCAGTATTTTTTAAATGGAAGAACATTACTCTCACATACATTATTTCAGAATAAAAATTATGATAAACATTATTTTGAGATATAAGAGGGGAGGTTTAGAAAATAAGAGATAGGAGATCTAGGTCCTACATTTCCTGATTCTGACACTGGGAGAATCACTTAGTGTTCCTGAATTTTATTTAGTTGATTTATAAATGGGAAAATAGGCATGATGCCACCTCACATTTCTAAGGATAGGGTCTCTCAGACTCCTCCAAAATTTAGGATCCATGATTCGGAGACATGTAAAGATTTATCACTTAAAGAAAGAAAAGCTTCCTCCTTACTATAGAGATATCCCCTGGAAAAGAGAAATGGAAATAATGAAGTGGAAAAGGAAAAAAAGAAAAAAAAAAAAAAAAGAGTTTGTGATGACAAGGGATCTCCTGAGAAGGAATGTTGTAAATTAATTAGCATGGTTCCAGGCAAACAGTAGGTGCACAATGAAAACATGAATAGATAAATGAATGAATGAGCCAAAATGCCCTGAATTATATCAATCTCATGTGATCACTTGGTACAAAGAGTATCTTTAGTGAAGGAAAGCTGCAGAAATCCCATGGAGATCTTTAAAGAGAAATCGATAATTTAGTGCAATGCTTTCTGAATGGTTCTGTATCAAGGTTGTAGGGAAGGTTAGATCAGTGTTTAGACTTGCTCTATCATGGGAAAACCATGCATGGATGGCTGTAGTCTCTCCTGGGAAACTTACTAAAACACAGATTCCAAGATGCCATCTTATATCTACTGAATCAGAGACCCGAGGGCGATGCCTGGCAACTGAATTTAATGAGATCCCAGCTGATTCTCCTGGAGCCAGCCTTCCCTAGCCTTCAGATCAGTTTTTGGAAACTGCAGTTTTAGACCTCTCAAGGGCCCTGGATTCCATGATTCTACAGAACTGACACTGGGAAAAAGTGATCTGGGCAAGGAGAGTCCTTCACATTGACTGAACACATACGAGATGCCAAGTGTTGGACATAAAGTCATGATTTGCTTAACACAACTATGAGCTGCAGTGTGATGGTTCTCAGTAGGCTGTACTGTGCAGCTGAGTATGTAGTACACTATACCATGCAGGTTTGTTTTGTGTGATTATACTCTGTGATGTTCACATATGATGAAATCCCTTAATGATGCATTTATCAGAACATATCTGCATCACTAAGTGATGCATGTCTGTATAACACTGGATATCATGTGGCTGTAATCTTTTACTAAAAATCAATCTCTTAGAGAAAACCAAGTTGAAGTCCAGAGAAGACCAATACAAGTCTACTTCCACCCTCATCAAAACTAACCTGTGGGACAAGGATTTTATTTTTTTTAATTTTGGGTTTCAGAAAATAAAATGAATTGCTTTAGACACAGCATTTGCAAGCTACAACTGGGTGGGTGTGGTTGTTATCCCCATCTTATGGCTGGGAAAACTGAGGCTCAGTAAACTGAGGCTCAGTACTTCTCCAGGGAAATTCAGCTTGTTTGTAGGAGGTTGGGTGGGGTCTGGAATTCTATCCAGGTTTTAAAACTTCCAATAATAATATTTTAACTATTCCCTAGAGATACCTCACCTGTTGAGAGTGGCTAGATGTCTCTGTGAAACTCTGATATCTTTTCATTTTTTCATCTGTACAATACAGATAAAATACAGATATCTGATGCAAGGAAAGCGGCTCTTTCCTTAGTAAGATAAAATCCAGATCCACAGGGAGAAGGGTGGCCAGACTGATTGACCTTGACTTTTCTCCAAGATTCATCTTTCCATTGTGAAATTTCCCAAAGGGTGTTCCTGAGAACAGCAATTGAGCAGAAAGTTTCAGAAACTTTGTCACAGAGGTTTGACAAACACTCAAACTCCAACCTCATCGCAGAGACCCACACTGCTCAAAATGTGTTAAAGCCTATAGGGAAATGAATGGTGGCCACACAGAAAGATATATTCACTTCCTCACCCCTGGAGCCTGTGAGTATTACCTAATATGGCAAAAGATGTATTAAATGATCTTGAGAGCAGACATTTATCCAGAATTATCCATGTAGACCCTAAATGAATCACATGTAACTTCATAAGAGAGAAGCAGAGGGAAATCTTACACACAAGAGAAGATAATGTGATGATGGGGGGAGAGAGATTTGGAGATGTTGGCCCATAAGTAGTGATGTAGACACAAGTCAAGAAGCGTGGACAAGGGACCTGCTTGGAAGCACAAGGAGTTAAGACGCAGTGCTATGAAGCTATCTGCAACCACTGCAGCAGAAGTTCAATCCCTGGCCAGGGAGGTGACCCACATGGCATAGCAGACCTTCAATGACTCGCTTGCTGCTCCCCTCAGCAGTGTATTTCAGTCAATCGGCCTGTTCTGTTCCCCCCTCTGTCTCTGGTGAATCCTCTCACCCCCCCACACCTCTGGCCTGTACTCCAGTTCTTATATGCAGAAATAAATACATAAATATTAAAAAAAAAAGAAGTATGGACCACCACCTGGAGCTAAGCAGCGAGGAATGAACTTTCCATGAGAGCTCGTGTCCACACCTCGATTCTAGCCCAGTGATAATGACTTCAGACTTCTGGCCTCCAGTAGTTGAGAGAATGCAAGTCACCATGTTTGTGTTAATTTGTAAGAGCAGCCACAGGAAAGTAGTACAAATGCCTTGAGATATCTTGCTTGATGCCAACCTGTTTAGGTTGTTTGACTCCACATTCCCCAACCTGGTTGACCTTGGCTTTCTTTCCCCTACAAGGCTTATTAATATCCAAACAGAATTCACAGTGTGTGCAACCCACTTTGGAAAATGCAGCCTGAGGGAAATATTTTGTTAATTACTAGGGCCACTGCTGCTCATCTGGGGACAGAGATGCTCCCATTTAATGTTCTGACCAAACATGAGCCGGGATCCTGCCCTGCCAACTCTGTAGCACAGCTGAGACCAGGGGGGATATTTAAAACAGACTTTGCTGAAGGCTGGGGATAACAAAAGAGAAAAGTCAAGAGGTATATAAACATAACTTAGATAATCTTGCTGCCAAAGGAGTTCTTGGGGTGTTCATTGGGGGTAGGTCCTCTCACTGGTACTAGCTGGTTGGAAGTCATGACTATAGGGGTACTGTCTTGTCTAGCACCTAGCCACTGCCATGTGGTCAAAACCATCAATAACCCCAACACCCTAGAGACATTCTAGAACAGGCATTCTGGGCATTCTAGAATCTCTTTAGGCTTCTCTTTAGATTTCAAGACACACCTGTGCAAGAGTCTTTGTCTGAGATGGTTCTTCTGAAGTGACCAAGACTTGGAAAATGGCCTATGGGCCTCTGTTGATTAACAGCATCCAACTACAGCAGAGAATTTGTGGCATTTATGCAAGAGATTAACCTAGTAGAAGGCAGAGACCAACTTCCTTCTTTTAGCAAGTTCCAGATGGCAGGCCTGCCCTTACCGTGTAACTTTGCACAATCAAGTTCAAGTCAAGAAAGGAGGCAGAAGGTCAGTGTGGTTCACCTCATCCAGGAAGTATAATATACCACGCTTGTTTGGTAGAAGTTACATAGAGAGACATAAATGGGAAAGATGCATTTATTACAGAGACCATTTTCCAGTCTTCCTTCCCTAATATCTGCTTGTTGTTATGACTATTATCATTATTTTACACACCTCTTTCACATGAACGGCTGGCTATAAAGCAGCTCTTGTTTTGCTTTATTGCCATTTGCCTTATATAGGCCATTAAGACTTTACTGCTTAGACCAGGAGTCCTAATTTTATTTTTAAATAAGAAGGTTCTATGACTTCAAGACATTTGTGAACTCCAGCTCTAAGGTATCCGGCCTTCCTGTAGAGGCCAAAGAACTTGGTCCTCACCACTGAGGAAGGAGGGCCCCATGCCATTTCAATGTCCCTGTGCAGGTTGGCCTGCCTGTGAATTCTTGAAAAAAAAATACAGAGAGCAAGAAGCGAGAAAGGCAAAGAAGAAATCCATGAAGGACACGTGACAGGCACAAAAATGTGGCCACTGGCTCCTGAGGCAAGGTTTCAGAGTAATTACTAAGAGCTAGACTGCCCATGTTCCTCTCGAGCTGACTCCTCCTGACAAGGAAGGGAAAAGGCCGGGAGGGAGCGAATTTACTGTCTCTGCTGGTGGAGATTGTAGGACGTCTCCTTTATGACAGGGAGAATAGTGCTGTGAACTCGATTGATATTCATAATGTGCCCAAGCCAGCTTCCCTGTGAACGACTCTAAAAGCATTCACAAAGGTCTTTGCAAGGGGCACAGAGAGAGGTGTGGAGTCCTTTTTTCAAAAAGTGACCTTAGCCTCATACCAGGCCATTTCCCCCCAGAAACTGCAGAATTGCTTTATTAATAAGCTGAGCAGGGGAGCCAGGGAGAAACATCTTTAAGAAAGTTTCTATAATTTCCATTCAATGATGGGAGAGGAAGCCATTTTCTCCTGTCAGGGCAAAGGATGGCAAGCACTCCCCAGGCAGCCTTGCGAAGGAAGGAGAAGGCATTCTGGGGGTTGGCAGAGTGGTCAGGGAAGGGAAATGTCACTCTGGAGACTCAGCAGCAGGCCACCCCTCCCCTGGCTGAGTAGCCAGCAGCCTGGGGGATGCTCCTCAGAACCGTGACAGCTGGAAGCAGGTGAGCTGGTGCAGATAAAAGAACCCGCCCCTGCCTTGGGAAGCATGAAAACAATCTCCGCTAACCTTTATACGAGGCATTTATTCTCTTCCCGCCATTGTCTCTGCCTTTCCAAAGCCCTGGATGGGGCCAGCATCATAAATACCAATGTGCCCATTAAAAATGTAAGGACGCAAGCCCAATTGTGCCAAAGTCCATTGGTCTGCAGTGGGACAGCGGTGGAGGTGAAACACTGAAAACTAATGGACCCCCTTGGGGATCACCTGCCTCCACACATTGTTCCTTGTCATCACCACTGACCCAAAATGGGACCATCTGATGGGGAACGGGCTGTGCAATCCACCAACAGAGTCAGTGCCATATGGAACAGGCATTCCAATTGCCCATTGCAATACATAAAAACAATTCAGGATTCTAACTCTATTTCTTTGGCAATCGAGTTTAACTATCACCGGGCTGGCTATAATCGGATTCTGCTGCTGTATTTATTAAATGTTAAGTTGCTAAACATATGGCTCAAGGGATGGGTAATAGGATGTGGAGTCAGGCTTAGCAAGAGTATAATTTTTCAGGTCTGCCCCTAGGTATTCAAGGCCAGCATGTCAACTAGCCTGCGGCAGCTCAGTCTATGAAAAATGGGTCTACACAGTCACGGGAGTAGGTCCTCTCACTACTACGTGGTTGCTTAGAAGGTACGACTATAGAAGTCAAGATTATTGCTTAATTTTGGTGTAAGCTCGGTCTCCTCTTTACTCAGCCAACATTTTAGTGAACACCTACTGTGTGCCAAGTTCAGTGCTAGAACTTGAAGATACCAAGCTGAGTAAATCATGGGCAATACACTGCCTAGAAGCCAGTCAGCCTAATACAGGAGAAGGGCAGGCAAATATAAATTTAACTCAAATGTGATTTGTGCTGTGAAATAAGTGCACACAGACTGATATACTTGTGGGGGGGGCAACTAAAATAGAACACTTCCCTTTATTTTTACAGAGCTTTACAATTTATAATTTCTAAGCCAGACACAAATCTTAGAAGCAGAGACATGTTTTCTTCACAAGGGAAGGCACTGAGGTCAGAGATTTCAACTGTCTGGTGCCCTTTCAACAAAGTGCAGTCACTGGAAAACACCTGCTAACCTGGCCTGGCAAGGCAGTCCACAAAGATGAGGCGCTGATCACACTCCTAAAGCCTCCTGGCAGATCAGAGAAATCTCTCAAGACTCAAAGCTCAGATCCCTTAGTGATGACCTGCAGCAGCCTTTTCACAGACTGAGGGACTCTATTAATTATCTGGATTGAGGACCTCATTATTTATGGTTCACTGGGCAGAACCCAGAATCACTAGAAATGCAGTGAGAAATATAATTGTAAAGAATGTAAGATAAACACACCTGTGTATCTGTATCATTCTGAAACTCCACAAAAATACAATAAAAGATTTTTTTTTAAGCTGCACATCCATAAGGGGAAGGAAAAAATAAATGAGGAAATGATCACAAAAGTTTAGCACAAGAGTAGTCAAGCAAATGGCAATAAACTTAGCATATCAAAGAAAGCTGAGCCTATAGGCTTCTAGAGGAGAAGTCCAGGAGAAAGCAGATCTGGACCCTAGAAGGCCAGAAAAGCCCAGGCATTGTAGCAATAATACTTCTGGAATGGGGAATGTAGACACGGCTGAAAATATTTATTGAATATCTACATAAATAGCAGAGCAGCAGATAGGTCCTGAGATTGCCTCTATTTTCTGGAAAAAAAAAAAAGGCAGCTGTCAACCCATCCCTGGTGGAGGGCCAGCTGTGTAGTCTCAGAAGAAGGCCTTCAGCTCTGGGATATGAGGTCCTGCAGACACAGCAGCTTATGGTGAAAACATAAGGTTGGAAGGTTGGTGTAGTGCATGGGAGGACTTGGACCCCTTACTCAGTTCCAAGAACTCTGACTGCTAGGTTTGGACCCCCAGGCAAGAGACTAAGCATTGCAACCCCCACACTATTTGGGATTGTTATCACGAAATGTCCAGCAGATTAAATGCCTGTCCACCAGACAGCTGCAAATAGACTGACCATCCAATCAGCATTTGAATTCCTCACTGTTAAAATAGCATGACATACTTGAAGGAAGCCTCTGCTGTGAAAGAAAGACTAAAAAAAGAGGGAAAATATGCAGAGGCAAAGCCAGAAGCAGAAAAAAGATTTTCAAGAAAAACCCCTGTAATTAATATCTTCAGAAAGATGTGAGAAATTATGGCAGCCATGAACATGTTGACATGAGAGTATACTCATGATCTGTTAGGCACTGTTTCAAGTGTTCTAGTAACTCAGTGAAGCCTCGGGGTTGGTTGGTAGTATGAATGAAGGGGCATGCTATTAATCCATTTTAGAGTTGAGGAAATTTAGGTGCAGAGAGTTCAAGTGTAATGTCAAATATCACACAGCTGGTGACACAGGTGCGCAGCTGTTTGTACCCAGGCAGTCAATCTGCTTCTTCATGTTGAAGCTTCTCATATTCAAAGGATGATGCTCTGAAGCCAGTCAAAGGCCATTAAAAGGAACACACAAGGAACCAAAAAGAGTTACTGGGAATTTAAACCATAACTTCAAAAATGAAGTATTCACTACTGAACAAAATGAAGTTGAGGAAATATTCCAGAAAGCACAATAGAGAGAGTGCAAGAAAGAATTGGAGGGGCCTCCCTGGTGGTGCAAGGGGTTAAAACACAGTAAAATGAAGCTATCCACAGCCACTGCAGTGTGAGTTCAATCCCCTGCCAAGCTGGTGACCCACATGGAGCAGCAGACCTCTCCTGTCTCGTCCGCTGCTCCCCTCAGTAGTGTATTTCAGTACATCTGCCTGTTCTGCTCCTTACTCTGTCTCTGATGAGTCTTCTCACCCCCTGCATCTGTCTATACCCCAGCTTTTACATGCATAAATAAATTAATCTTAAAAAAAAAAAAGGAAAGAGAATTGGAGAGAATATAGAAAAACAAACAATAAAGAGTCCACTCCTCTGAACAACCCTCTGTAAGGTTAACCTATCAGGTCCATCAGAAAAAAAAGAGAATAACAATGGGAGGAAACTATAAGAAACTATAAGAGAAGTAGTTTGAGAGCATTTCCCAGAACTGAAAGATCTCACTTTTTAGAAGGAAAATGGAGGGCCTCCTTTGTGGCCTAGGGGTTAGTATCAGTGCTCTCGCTGTCAGAGTCTGAGTTCTATCCCTGGCCAGAGAGGTAATCCACATATTGGCACAGCATACCTCTCATGTCTTGCCTGCTGCTCCCCTTAGCAGTATATTTCAGTAAATCTGTCTGTTCTGCTCCCCACTCTCCTCTCTCTTCCCCTGTGCCCCCACCTCTGGCCTACATCTCAGTTCTTCTACACAAAAAAGGGAAAAAAATAGAAGGAAAAAGGATGTCCAGGCACAGCATTGTGAAATATCAGGATGCTGGGAAAATGAGAAACTCCTAAATGCTTTCCATTGAGGGAAAAAAAAATAAGATTAAAAATAAAAACTTGGGATTTAAACCATCTGAGATCTTCTCAATAGTCACTTAGGAAACTAGAAAAACAAGGATAGATGACTTCAAGATTTGGAGAGAAAACTATAGCTATCCTCACTATATGGGAACAGAAAAAAATATTTTTTTTCTGGATATCAAATCTAATCCATGCACCTTTTCTAGAAAACTACAGGAAGATATGAGAGGAAATCAAGCAAGTGAGATAAATGGGATCTAGGAATCCAGGGGACCCAAGACAGGGGAAAGTAGGTGACTCTAGCCAAAGAAGACTCCAAAAGGGCAGCTGAGGCAGACCCAGAGAGTAACCATCGAATAGCAGGACAGGAAGGGTAACACCAATCACCAAGTGTCTTAAAGTCATCGAGAAGAGATCTGGTTTGGGGATGAGTGAATGACAGTTGCATGTATAGCTGAGTGAAAAGAAAATAATTTCCTTTAGGAGAAAAATTGTAGAAGGAAAAAAATCATAGTGCTCCACAAGATTCAGCAGTGCAGGCATCATTTTATGACCTCACAATAAGAAACCAGTGCATACTGGCCCAGTGAAAACTGATGTAACTATAGTGGGAGGATAGGGGAAAAGAAAATTGCGTGTGGGCAAATGCATGTGTATACACCAGAGAGCCAGATTTTAATTTTTCAGAGTAGGAAAATCGATAGATTACGTCTAAAATAGAAAAACCAGCAGCGTAAGCATGTTATTTAAAGTTATTGAGCTAACTACCTACGGAAGGATTAAATAATTAAAAACAGTTCTCTCTGGGGAGTAAGGAGCTGGGGTTGAGGCAGTGGACTCCCATAGAACCATTTGAACTTTTTGAACCATGCATATCTTAACAAAATTAAAATGTTTAAAAAAATAACTATAGTTGTCTCACTGAAGGCAGTCTCCAATGGATACCAAAAGGTGATTTGTGATTGGATGACTACAGCTCTGTAGGTATGGGAGCTGTTCCCTAACAGTAACCAGAGAAAGGTCTGCAGCCTGCCTCTTCTGAAATTCAAACCTCAGGGGACTGGAGCTAGTTGGGCCTGGGTGATCTCATTTCTGCCAGCCACAAATGCCAAGAAATCCACTGCTAATGGATCCTAGGGGACATAACTGGAAACACTGGCTAAGCAGGATTTCACCATATGTGATTCAGACCGAGCCCAGTCTGCTTTCCCAAAGGATCAAGGGCTCTTTTCATCCGAACTAAGATTATTTTTCCCTTCAGTACAGGTTGTTTCCCAGCAACAACAACAATGTATAGGGAAGAACAAAAGTTTTGGATGAAATTGAGAAGAGGTGACTTTTCTCATTGACTTGAACTCAACAATATTGAATAGCTCTGTCCTTAACCTTACTAATCAGTAAGTCAAACAGCAAAAAATGAAGTTCTCTAATGGATCCAGATGCTGTAGATAGATACTAAAGCAATCAATTAGGTTTACATACCAGTGAAAGGACAGGAAATAAATGTGGGCCAGTTACATACCGGTCTGCATATACCACAGAAGTATGAATTAGAACACCTAGGAATCAGCCAGGACATTAGCTAAATTTCCCCTTAGAAATACAAGTTCGTGGGCCTCCCTGGTGGCGCAAGGAGTTAAGATGCAGCCCATGAAGCTATCAGCAGCCACTGAAGCACAAGTTAGATCCCTGGCCAGGGAGTTACCCACATGGCGCAGCAGACCTCTCCTGACTCATCCACTGCTCCCCTCAGCAGTATATTTCAGTAGATCTGCCTGTTCTGCTCCCCATTTTGTCTCTGGTGAATTCTCTCACCCCCCACACCTCTGGCCTGTACCCCAGTTCTTGTATGCTTAAATAAATAAATCTTTTAAAAAAAAAAAGTCCAAGTTCGCCATAATTGTGACCTTAACTGAAAGAGAACTTCACCTCACCCATTTCTGCTGCAAACGCTGATAGGTGATGTTGGTTGGCACCATCTGAAAGGAAAAGTGTTGGTGAGGTTTTCTTCCATCAGAGGTCATAGGGGAAGGTCCTTTCCATCCCACTGCAGTATCTCATTTCTTCCTTTTTGCCTTCTCTAGCTCAAACACAGTTAGGCACAACCTAAGCAGCCATTGTGGAGGAACTACCAATTTGGGCATCAAGTCTCCAAACAAAGGGATTGCCATTTAAACTGGGGGAGAACTGTTTGTGATGTGATTGGTGGGTTTGG